CTTAATGGAATTGGAGTTAAAAAGGATGAACAAAAGGCATTTATTTATTTTCAAAAATCTGTAGAGATGGGGAACGCTAGTGGAATGTATAATGTTGGATATTGTTATCGAAATGGAATTGGTGTTGAAAAGGATGAACATAAGGCATTCATTTATTATCAAAAATCTGCAGAAATGGGAGACATCGGTGGAACATATAATGTTGGATATTGTTATAGAAATGGAATTGGAGTTGAAAAGGATGAACAAAAGGCATTCATTTATTATCAAAAATCTGCTGATATGGGTGATTCTGATGGAATAAAAAATGTTGGATATTGTTACGAAAAAGGAATTGGAGTTGAAAAGGATGAACATAAGGCATTCATTTATTATCAAAAATCCGCAGAGATGGGTAATTCTAAAGGAGTATTTGAAGTTGGATATTGTTATCAAAATGGAATTGAAGTTGAAAAAGATGAACAAAAGGCTTTTGAATATTATTTAAAAAGTGTAGAATGTGGATGTTGTTGTGGAATGCATAATGTTGGTGGACGTTATCTGCAAGGAATTGGTGTAGAAAGGAATAAAGATTTGGCTTTTGAATGGTATTTGAAATCAGCTATTTCTGGACATGACTATAGCATTCATGAAAACTATTTCCATTGGATTAAATACGATAATTTTAGAAATATTGGAGAAGTAGGTATAGGTGGGTTTTCCGTAGTTTATAAAACATTATATAAAAGGCAACATGAAACATATGAAGAAGTTGCAATCAAGAGAATAAAAGATTCGCATAAAAATAGAAAACTTTTTTAAACGAGGTATTTTTTTTATGCGCGTAAATTTATATTATCATACTTATAAATTAATTGTATATAATTTTTGTTTTTTTTTTGGTTTTTTTTTGGGGGTTTTTTTTTTTGGTTTGTTTTTTAGCTAAAGGCGTATCACGAATTTGGTAATTACTACGGCATATCAATGGATAAAAATACTGGAGATTTGATTTTAGTGCTAAACTATGCAAAATTAGGATCATTACGTGAAAATCTTAAAGATATTTTAAATTGGAGTGGCAAATTAAATTAAAAATATTATGTGATATTGCTTTTGCTCTATCAAATATTCATTCTAAAAAATTTATACATCGAAATTTACATTCTAGTAATATTTTACTAAAAGAACGATATGAAGCTTATATTGATTTAGGTTCATCAATATCGTCTGAGGAAAAACATGATGGTCATATTTATGGTGTTTTGCCATATTTAGCTCCTGAGGTCTTGCAAGGAGAAAAGTTCACCCAAGCTGCTGATATTTACAGTTTTGGAATTATTATGATAGAAATATTAACTGGACAAAGACCTTTCGATGGTTACAGTTTTGATGCTGAATTAGCGGCGATGATTTGTCATGGGTTACGACCTGAATTTATTATAAGGACACCAAAATGTTATATCCAATGCATTAGTTCAGATATGAATAAAAGACCTACGGCCGTTGAGATTATTAATAAACTTGAAAAATGGAAAAACATTATAGCCGCCAACAATAATAAATTTAAAAGATGGAAAAAACTTATCAACAATATTAATGTTAATTTAGACAAACAACGGATTGTTTCAGATGAAGAGATTAAACAGCAATTTTTAGAAGATGATAAATTAATCAAAGAATTGCCAATTATTTCGCAAAAAAATGATATTGTGTATACTTCTAAGCTTATCGATACAAGAAAAATTCTTTCAGAGATTGAAAATTTTAGAATTAATTGATAATAATTATACTAATTTAATTTTTATATTTTTCTAAATAGCAAGATTAAAGAATATATTGTATGTCGAGAGTGTATGACTTATATTATTAATTGGATTTTACTAAAACGCACCTATGGTGTTTTACCACCTATGTTGTATTATCTCAAAAACTGGCTAATTAATCGTTGTGAGATGTTCTAAGTAAAAATGTTCTACGCCCCAAAAAACCCTTCCCAAACCCTAATCCTAACCTTAATATTAACTTTAACGTGAAAAAATTGATGTTAAAAATTTTATATACAAAACTTATAAAAACTTAGGAAATTTTAAAAAACATAATAAAAACATATAATAGGTGCAAAACCACCATAGGTGCGTTTTAGAATAATTGTATTAATTTATAAAAAAAATTCAAATTTGTTGGTAATTATTTTATGAAGTCACACTTTTATTTGATTTAAGTTAATTATGCTATATTAGCAGCTTTACCAAGTCACTGTTGCTTCTTTTGAAGCTCTTGCTGGTAAAAATATTATTAAAACTTGGTGCATTAATATGTAATTATAAATTTATCACTCATTCATATTGGCGCTTATATTAATTGTTTTGAAGGTATAAATTTAAGGAACACCTATTTTTACCATGGTAAATTATTATTTCAACCATTTTTAGGTCTATGACCGGAATTATAATTAGAGTTTATGAAGATTTTGTAATGTTGTCATTATCTATCGATAAACACAAATATGACACAGACACTAGTTTGTGAAACGAATAGAGGCTGTTAAATTGTGCGTAGTCTCATAAATCTTGAAAATATAGTAATAATTGTCGCAGAAGCAACAGTAGCCACAGTGTGTGTCACAATATATATTGATTTATTGAATGGAAAATTCCTGTTGTTTTTCAATGAATTACTACACCTCGACGAATATATAAAAAATTCATGAAAAAAAATTCATACGTTACATTGTAGATCTAATCTAAAACTACCAAGCTATGAATTTCTAACAAGATCCTTAGCGATTTGATGTATTTAGATAGCTCACACCATAGCATTTATTTATTAATGCCATTTAAACTTCAAAAGTTTATCATCCCAAGATGTTTTAGCAGGTATTGTTTTCATATTTGTAACAGCCAACTTATCTTTCATATTTAATATTTTGTCTTTTTTTAGTGACATTATTGAGAATTCCTGTCAATTACAATATGATTCTGAAAATTAAGCGTTCATACTTTCGTCATTTTTCAATTTACGCTTCGAAAGTGATATATGTCATTTACAAATTTAAAATAACGTACGTTATTTCATAGTCGATGAAAATTTATTGCACAGATAATTTTTTTCTTTAAAAAGAAATCCTTGACGGCGTTGCTGTGGGATGCCATATGGCGTACAAACACAGATAAATTTATGAACGCATATTATCGTTACAGTCTTATAACTATACCATAATTGTGCCAGCAGATTTAATGTGAACTGAAAAATTAGAATCGTTTGTTTAAAACGGCTAACAATATGAAAGTGTTATTTAACCGTGCTAATGTGATAATAAACATTGAAATATTGATGATACTAAGGTGGATGATGTAGATTTAACCAAGCAGGTTTTATAAAGGGGCCACCCCGAAATGTTCTGAATTAAACTCAATTAATTTTTGGTAATAATATTTCGATAATCTTGCTGTTTCTAGCATTCGTTTAAATTGATGAATCATTTAGTCATTCTTAAGCACGGAAAAATTTTGTTGTATATTATTTTTCCGGATCTTTTTTCGATAACTGAGTACAGTCGATACTGTCTAATTGCATATACTCTCTAAGTGCATAAAAAAATTTTGGCTTTTAATTATTAACACCAAATGGTTCTTATGACTTAAATGCATATACTGTCTATATGCATAAAAAAGTCTCTGACGGATGGCATGCAATTAGACAGTATCTACTGTATTATGCATTTTATATATTATTGATGGCCGAGTGCAAACGCGACTATACCAAAATTGTGTCAATAGATTTAATGTGAACGTTGAAATTTTAGTGTTAATGAACTGAAAAATTAGAATCTTTTTTTCAAAACGTTAACACTATGAAAGCGTTATTTAACTGTGTTAATGTGATAATAAACATTACCCTGTAAAAAATGAACTTTGGAATATATCCATTATATTTCCATAATTATGATTATGGGTCCTTAAAATTTCCATATACTTATAAAGAACAGCAACTAAGCAAATGCCCTATCCGGATTTTTTCCATAATATTATTTATTAATCATTTATATTAAGATCTCTTTTACTTAAATATGGAATCAAAATGGAATTTATTTAGAACATGATTTATATAATTTTATACTTATTTAGAATTTTTTCATAAATAAAATTTCTTAGATATAGAACTAAATAGAATATATTAAGATATATATTTATTTTTCTTATTGTAGTATATATAATAGCATTATAAAAAACCGATTATATAAGCTAATATAATGGAAATAATTTGGAAATAATATAAAAATAAAAATTGTTTTTTTGTAATAAAACTAATGAAATTTGATTTGATTTTCTTTATCAACAATGTATGTTTCGTTGTTAGATAATTTCAAAAATCCCACATTTCTATCAATTGTGCTAATATTAATTATTTCGAATGAGCCAAGATCACGAAATTTCGATAATCCATGTTTAGAAATATGGGGGTTGCGAACCCATTGCACATATGCCAACATTGACCATTGATCGTCATATTGATGTGAAAAAAAATAACACACCTCGCCAAAAAATTCTTGCATTTCTAAAATAACTGGCGCATTTTTATGATGAGCGTTTCGGTCAACCAAAAGTTTGGCCTAAAGAAATATTACCAAATAAAACTTTAAAAGCTTCCTTATTATTATTTAAGATGCTTGTATAAAACTAATATATAATATACATACTGCAATACAAAAATTTTTACGCATCACATCACCTTTGCGATTTGATAGTCTCAAATTTATTATTAGACCTCGCTTCGTTTGAAGTTTTCCATATTTCTGAACAGAATTTGTAATCGACTTAAACAAACCAATATGTGAGAAATATAAAATTTTTTTATAATAAAATAGACTAAGCAAATAACTTACTTTTAATTGATTTATAGGTTTATTTAATGCTGTTGCATAATAAGCTCTAAGACGCTGTTCTTCAGTTTTATTCATACAGTAGCTCGAAGATAATGAATACAGCTTCTCCTCAGCACCTTCAATAATAAAAATGCGACTTTCAGAATGATTCGGTATCTCCGGACCCTTTATAAAAATTTTTTTATTTATTTCAGTTTTGTATTGAAGAAGAGAGAATTGATTCCACATTGTAATTTGATTTCGAAGATTAGTATAGGGATGTTGCTGGGAGCGAACTAGTGGCAATAACATTCCGCACAATCTTTCCATTGGGTACTGCCAGGTTGACCACGCAGGCCCAGTATTTTGAATTGAAGTGGCAATATGCAATAAATAATGATAAGAGATAAGTGCGGCTGGAAGTCATCTGGGGTCATTCTGGAGATATTCTCTATAAATTATAAATATTTATTCAGTAAACATAATCATATTAAAGATGTAAAATATATTTATTGAATTAATCTATATAACATAAAACGTACTTCTCATAGTGTATAACAAACTCACAAAACAGCCTCTTAATTTCTATTAATTCTGCTTTACTAATGTTGTATTTGAGACAAAGCTTTACGGCACGAACAAATTTTGCCCACCCATTTAAGTATCTACCAATTATAAAAGTAGTTATAAGCATTTTTTTGAAATTACCGATATTTATTAATTGCGCAGCTGAAGCTGGAAATTAGGGATCCTGATATTTGAAAATACAAATGCTCTAAATCCATTTACACCTTTTATTATCAGAACTAACCCTAAATCCAGACTATCTATTAAGAAAAAACTAAAAAAAAATATATCCTAAAAATTGCATATTAAAGTACTTAAAGTTTTTAGCCTTCAGCTTCGGCTGTAACATTAACTATAAACATACCGCTCTGGAAGATTGTTTTGTAAAAGCGGAATTGAATATAATGTTATCCAGTTTAACCAATATTCTGCTTTAAATGCTGCTGAATGCCGCTGAATATTGGTAGGTAGACGACCAAAACACAAAGGCATATTTTTTCAGTTTTTTTCCATTACATTTCCAATTTCTGTCCAATTAGTCTTAGGAATAACATATTCAGAATTTGAAATTTGATTATCCTTAAAAAAAGAACCAGACCAATGCCGAAGCATTGCTGGAGCAATGTTTTCGAATAACCCATGCATAATGTCAACGGGGAATGAATCTGGAAACTTAATTGACTTAAGTTCAAATAAGATACTTCGACCATTAATACCTATAAAGTAGATAGACTTATATGTTATTTAAAATATTTATTAAATATATATATCGATTAATAATTTACCTCTTTCTTGAACTTCATATTTCCGTGATGATCCATTTAAATGTTCTATAGTGGTAATATCTGCCAAATAATTTTATGTGTTCGTAGTGGAAGGTTTTTGGGATCATATCGACATCCTAACATACTATTTGGAGGCTTAAGTGGATAATATATATGTCGGTTTTCTTTACAGCATATTCCACGGATAGAACAAAACCGACATGCTTTATAAGAATTATGTCCAGTCGTATACATGATTTTAGCAAGTGCCAGAATATCACCCGACCAGCTTAAAATATGAGCATGAAGAACAAAAGTTTCTTCTGTTACACTATCAATACACTGAACACCATCTGTATTTATTGTAACGAAATTTGATAAATACATAATAATGATTTAATGTTAACAAAATCAAACAAATTTTTTTAACAATCTCAATTGATAACAGACTCAGTGTATAAAATCCATGTACACTATATGCTCAGTACATAGATTTTAATATATATTCAAATTTATCAATATAAATTTAATTATATAACAAATCATATAGTGTACATAAATTATGTGTGCACTGTGCACAAGACTCACATACTTTTGGGTTTAGATTTTATACACTGAACAGTCTACGTAAAACCAGCATTAATAATACCTTGTAGCTGTTTTAATTCATCAATTAGCGGTTGCAAAAAAGTGTTAAAATTTTTTGGTGATTTTGGCCCTGGGATAAGTGCAGAAATCAATAAGTTTTTATGTTGAACATGTATGTCGGGTGGTAGATTCGCATTTATAAGAAGAATGACCCAACAATCGTCCCGTTTTTGACGAAATATTTGATACCCGTCAGTAGACGCCATTAAGGCAATATCTCGGTAATCTGAAAAAAGCCCTGAAATACCCAAAGATTTATATTGAAGGCCATCAAAAACATCACCTATTTGGTCACCGATCATGTATTCATGCGTTGAGGTATAAATATGTCGGTAACGAAGAGTCTCAGCTCGAGCTTTATCTTTATATTGCATCTGAAGCGAACTTATAAGTGACCAGTAGGCGGCACTTTTTCTGGATACCCTTGAGTTTTTGCCAAACTTATAACGAGGCTCGCTACATTCTGAATATTGATTCATATTAATAAGCTCATTTGTAAATGCTACACATGAATTAATACAACAATCCACGAGTATTGGCTTTAAAGGAACAAAATCTCCAAGAATTTTTTGTAGTCTGTAAATCGTAATTTCAGAAATCTCAAGGGTTTTAAGAATTTCATTAAACGCTGCGTCTGAGATATTATGTTAGTTTTTAATTCGAAAAAGTCGCAAACCCTTAAATAAATTTTCTGAAATAATGTTAATATATAATATGATAATATTAAAAAACAGTTCTCAATAATAAGCTTACCTAAATTTATATTTTCATTGAGTTCATTATTATCTTCTTCATTACGCTCCTCATTATATTCATCATAATCTTCATTATATTCCTCGCAATTCCCATTATATTCACCATAATCATCGTTAAATCCCTCATAATCCTCTTCGCTATATCCCTCACTATCATTATCTTCGTTATATCCTTTATTAGTATCTTCGCTATGTCCTTCATCATACTCATCATTATCTTTCCTGTTATCTTTTTCATTGTATTCATCATTATACTCTTCGTTATCTTCGTTATTATATTCATCATTACGCTTCTCATTATCTTTCTCATTACACTCTTCATACTCCCTTTCACTCTCTAATATTTTATTATATTCATCATTACTGCTAAATAGGTTATTCAATTCCGTATTGATGCAATTTTGATTTTTTTCACTTTGGCTAGTATAAGATAATGTTATTGATGGAATAGCAGAAGACGTTGATGCAACTGCTGAAGAAATTTGCGAAATCGAAGTAATTAAATTTCGTCGTTGATTCGGAATATATGCCGAATTAGGCCATGTTTTTTTTTGCTTTGATGAATGTCTTGTACAAGTTGACCTACTAACTAATTTTCCCCGGTTATCTGACTCGCGTAGGCACCAAACACATGTACAAAGAACTTTGTTATCCATTTGTATAAGAAATAGGTACGTTCATTAAAAAAAAAATAATCAATTTTTCATATTTGAAATAGGTATTTATTCCAAATGATTATAGTTGTGATCACAAAAAAAATCAATAGCTAATATCAATAGCTAATTATACTTAAAAATGATACATAAATGATATCAATGATGCCATAAATAAATTCACTTTATTTTCTTTTTCTTGCATTTTATAATCGCCCTTGCAATTATAAAAAAAACTTGTTAATATTTGTGATTAAATTCTCTTAAAGAATGCCACAAAACAACCTTTCAATTAATATTAATACTCTCAATGCTGAGCAGCGCCACCAGTTTTTTATTGAACTATTTGATCTAGATCCAACTCTACCTAATGCGCTAAATCACGAGCAACGTCGTCGGTTACATTCTGTACTAATTGCTATCGAACCTTCCCTTGTTGAATCACTCCTGGATGCACGTAGTGCTGTGCATGGTATAGCCAATAAGCAGGTATTTTTTATTTTATTTTTATTTTTATTTATTTTATTGCCGAATTTTAATTTAGCCTAAATAATGTATATATCCCCCAGTTTCCAAGGGGATCTACGATGAACCCAATTAAGCTTAGTGAATACAAAAGCTATAAGGAATCCCAAAAAAGAATTAAAAAAGATGTGTAGTGGAACGAGTTCTTAAAACTTGACAAAAAACAATACTTGAATTTTAGAGTAAGTTTATACATTGACGAAAAAATAATAAAAATAGTCGAATTTTAGAGTGTGTTTTATCATTATTGGTTTGAATTATTTTTGTATCATTTTTATTATAGAATGATTTGCGAAATCGTGCTGCTTCTTGATTTTTGTGTGGTATATCATTAACCCGCCAACCAAAAGAGAAGGCTGAAGAAGTTATAAAAGAAGTAAGGTTAAATTTTTTTATATTTATAAGTGAAGGAAGCTAACACCAATATTTGGTTATCTATTATACTGTCAACTATCGATATAACGGAAATCCGGGCTGGCCAAAAAAATCCGTTATATAGCATGTTCGTTATACCTA